TGCTGAACTGGTAAAGCATGGGAGATCATTCCAGTTTCAAGAGGGGCCAGGATTTACACTGTCCCCCTTCCAATATGGTGCTTTTCTGGGCTGCTGCTCATACAGCATTCCTGTTGCTAACTTGTACCCTTATGAAGGCTCTATGCCATGGCTGCAAGTTCATAAAGCATCGTGTGTGCCTCATATCACCTATACAGAGATATTCCCTCCAAAGACAAGGTAACAGCTTTGCAGGAACGCCATTCAGAAAATGCAGGTCTCACCCCAGTATGAAAGGTTTGTAGCAAGAGCAGGAATAAGCACTTGCACTGTTTAAGGAGAAAAGCAGCTATTTTTTGCATGTTCCTCAAGGGATGCTTCAAGCATGGACTTTGCCTATTGAACCCTTGATGCTGCTGTGCAACAATTGCTGTTAATCTTGCCCCAAAGCTGGTTTTGAACCATACACTCAGAGATGAAAGGCAACATTTAGCTTCTAACTATTCAGCCTCTCCTGTCTTTCTGCCTCTGGTTCTCTCTCCTTGAAGCTCTGCATTAGGTTATATCCCCAATCAAACTTTTTGATAGCACCAAACTGTTTAGAAAGATGTTTTAGAGAACATGTTTAATGTGTATCTTGAGTACACTTTGTGGTGGTGGTATCTTCTGTCAAAATGGGTGCAATTCCATTTTACAATGCACAGTTAATGCTTTGCCTGAATGTGTTTTGAGGGCTGCTAAATAATATTGACATGTCAAATATATGGGTGAATGTTTTATGATCTGTCACACATAAATCCCAGAAAAAAGAATCCAAATCTGTGATGTAGTGTTTAATCTTCTACTTAGGAGGAGTATTGATTGATTTAGTTACATTCTGTTAGTACCTGGGCTACCCTCACGGATACCAGTGGCTGCCCTGGGCTAAAACGCTGGGATCTGACCTACTGTTCCTTCAGGTGGCTCAGTTTCCATATCACAGAGAGTTTCTAAATTTGGGAAACGGATGGTTTGTATTCAGACAACGGCAGCCAGCACTTTAGAGTGGTAATTCAGCCTGGTTTGGTGTACAGGGATGAGAGTGATTCAGTGGAATCATGAAAAGGTGCCCAAGTCAGCAAAAAGAAAGGATGTATTTTGCCATGCTAAAAGGAGAGAAAGGTTAAAGTTTAAATGGACTTGAGCCATACCTTGGCAGCAGTGCCTGTTGGACATGCTTGGAGGAAACTTGCTTTTGTACCACCTGTGCTGCAGCTGCTCTCCAGAGTAAAAGAGGACTCTGCACTTCATCTCCAGAATTAAGTAATGTCCTGTTTTCCTCTTTGTAGGATGATGCTAGCACCTCTCCTTCACCCAGTACACGAGGTCCCACCCAGCAGCAGCAAAATTCATCAGGTATTAAATCGAACTACTAGTGGTTTAGTTGTCTTGTTCGCCACCCCTAGACTCTGGGTTCATCATCCTACCTACTTCCGAGTGCAGCAGCAGTAACTAACAGAAAAATTCCCAAATACCTATTGTTTTAAAAACTGTACTCAGCAAGAAATGGTGGTCTTATATGCTTCACAGCCAAGAAAATGACAATACAGCCAATTTAGTTAAAGGAGTCCAGACATGTAGCTGAGGATCTGTGTCTTCAACATTGTGCATCTGAATCTTCTAAGAGAAAAAACCTGTATTATTTTATTTTTGGTAGTGTAGCTGTCCTGGTTTATACAGCTGGGGTTTAGGTCTCAAACTGTTCTCCTTCCTTAACCTAGTAGCTTGCTGCAGTAAGCCCGATCCTGAGAGTCACTAGGTGAAATTAAGGAGCCCCCAAAATATGTTTTTCCTATGATGAGTTGAAATAACTGTATCTGAGTAGATAAGCTGCAAGCCAGTCAGATTCATCCTTGCGTCAGCCTTGGCTTTCATACATGCTAAAAGAAATCTCTCCCAAGGGAATGAGTATTTAACTATTCCAACTTCCTTTTGGAATAAAGCCATGATTTGCGTATTTTGCAAGGGAAAGGGAAGAAGCCAGGAGAAAGGTGCACGTAAATGAGGAACGAGATCTAGAGATTTCCTGGGAGTGCCTGTAATTCTTTTAAAGAGCTTTTTAGGACCTCACAGAGGAGCAAACCCTTGTGTATAAAGTTGTGTGTTATTCAAGTCTCTGAAACAGTTCACTTTATTTTAGACTATTTGCATAGGAGGAGATTGGGATGATAGTAAGCATTTTCAGTAACAAGGGTTATGTAGTGCAGCTTTTGGAAATGTTTTGCGAGTTAGAAATATAGAAACATTAAATAAATTCTCTGTGGAGATTTGCATAGTGGGGGTCTTACTGCCTTTTTTTAGATACACCCACATTTTCTGCCAACTCTGCAGACAAAAAACCTAGGACTTTTTAACTTAAAATATAAATAAGTATTGTACTGAATAAAATAAGCCTTACAGCAATTAGCCTGTATTTCTTAATAGAACTGATTTATGCTTTTCCTCCTACTGTTCCAGTTCCATGTTTTTTTAGTATCACTTAACTCTCTGTTCCCTAATTAAAGGGATCACTAAGCAGATTTTTGCCAATGCTTTCTCTATAATGTAGGCAACTGCACTCATTCAGCAATCCCGCTTTCCCAGATCTTTCTAAGTCCTCACTGAATGAAAGCAGCTGTATAAGACAATCAACTTCAGGATTTTTTTATCATTAGAGAAAAAATAATGAACAGTAACTTTTCATTTTTGTTTTACAGACTCTGGGAAGAAGCCATGGGAAAGGAGCAATTCTGTTGAAAAGCCTGTATCTTCATTACTTTCTAGGTGAGCTGCACGGGGTGTCCCTGCGGCTGGCTAGCAGTCGGGATGGTCATGCTGTCCCCGTGGCACGTGCACAACTCATGTCTCGTTTCATTCCATTGCTGTAGAAATCCATCAGTGGTGAAGAGCTGTGAAGCTAAGAGCCCCACACAATCCCACGTGTCTTCTAGGTACTGGCTAACAGCCTGGCTTCTTAACCGTCTTGGCTTGTCCTTTGGCTAATCCCATCATTCAGCACTATGTTTGTCTTCTGTCATGTCTTTTACTCATTCTCTTACAATCTGCTTTGTCTGTTGCTGCACAAAGTGTGAAGGTAGAGTGTGTCATGTCGAAGGCTTGTTCCATGGAAACAGCCCGCTGCCTAGGTGGGCACAGGCATCACAGACGTTAATCACACTTAAGCAAGTGCTTAAAGCATCTGTGCTCATGAATCAGAGGCACGGGCTTGGCAGTGCGCTCTGCCACGTGGAAGGCAGGTTTTGGAGCACCTTTTTACAGCAGGTTCAGGATGACCCTGCCAATAGGAGAAGTTTTCATTTTCCAACCTCTGCAGAAATTTAAAAGCAAAGGCAGAAATGATCCAAAGAGCCTGCAACTGAGAGAAGGGAAGTTATTCCTCCACCCATGCAACTGCAGTGGGTGCATGAGAAAGGAGAGCAAAGCTTGGTGCAGTAAGTTAATAACATTGAGCTGTAAAAAGGACCAGCCACAAATAGGACATTCAGAAATATAGGGTACAAAAGCTGGCGGGTATCAAAAGCCAAGAGGCCTAAAGTAGGACTCCAGAAGTCCTGTCGGTCAGAACACCAAGCTGCAGTATCACCACCCATGTTCTTACCCACAGAGATTGAGATAAAGTTTGATGCTGGGCAGCTAAAGAGAGACTTCCTTCCAGTGCTGGTCCGGGACCGCCCAGTGTCACTGCAGTACTGGACACTGCGATGGATGTATAAGCTGAATAAGGAGGTAGAACACAGACTTATATATGTTTAGCATTTACTGCAAAGAGATGTTCCTTATTTTACACTGTTACATATACGACAGTGCTGATAGTCTGCAGAGCGAAAGTTGCCAATGGCAACTATCTGCACGTACCTGCTGCTGTGTTAAAGATGCTAGAACTTGCCCTGCCCGAACATTCAGAGGGATGCACCAGGGTTACTAGAGCAAAATATAGCCTCCAGCTCTCCTAAAACCTATGGGACACATTGGTTCTAGGAAATATGCGAGAGTTTCCAACAGATACAGAAAGGCCATTCCTTCTCCTTGCAAATGGGAATGAAACATGGGGTACTTAAAGCAGCCATCAAGTTTTTGCCAGCTATCTTCTATAATGGCATTCCATCTTGGGAGGAGTTCAGTGGGAAAAAATCCTTTCCTAGTTTAACACCTGTAGCAGTGCTCAGTCTTTGCTTGCCCGAATGACTTCTGTGGGGGAAGCAGAGCAGGTTTCAAAAGCTCTCAGCAGTGACCTGTTTCCGTTCCTGTTCACTTTGATGGCATTTGTACCTGTCTTAACTCCCAGCTTAGCTGTGAGATGGTAGGAGACATGTTAAGATTTTCCCGAGAAAGGGTTGCAAGACCAAGCATACCTTCAGGAGTGGCAGAATCTCTGCCAGCCCCCAGTTTGGGCCCAAAGATGATGGCAAAGTTATTTGAAGCCTTTTCTATGAATTATATAGCATGGTTAATTTTTTAAATGTTTTAGAGTTACTGATTAAAAGAGAAAGTCAAGCAGCTTCTGCTTCCTTAATTTATTTTATCAGCCGTCATCAGAGCTCAGCCCACTGATTAATACCATCCTGGAAGACCTATACCACTCAAGTGTACTAGCCATTAAGGGCAGATTGGTTTTGTTTCTGGGTCAAGAAAAAGTGCCTGTACTACACAGTGCTATCAACAAGCTCTTCTTGACTCAGTCAGGCCTTCCAAGGAAAGATTGACTGGGTTATTATTTTCCCTGTAATATTTTTCTAATCTGTATTCTACTCTAGCACCCGATTAAAGTCTAGGTGGCCAAGACAGGGTTGCTGTACAGAAAACAGACTGTGAGAGAAAACCAGACATCTAGCTTGCAAATTGCAAATGCTGTAATAAAATACATTGTTAAACAGGCTTTATCCCCTGAAGACATCTCAGCATTTTCTAGTCTGAAATCACTGAGACTCCCAACACCAAGAAAAAAGAGAGTAAATTAGGTTTCAGTGCAGTCTTTGCACACCCTCCAATACGTCTGCAATAGGAGAAAGCGGCATCTTTGAGGGTCAGGCTGCGCAAACGGGAGCAGTGCTGCTCTCTGGCTGCCGAACTCTCCTGAGCGGCACAAGAGGGAGCCTCTGGTCCAGCGCTCGCACACAGGTGCTCCTGCTCTGGGGTGGATTTCATCCACACCATCAGGTGGGTGTAGCTTAGCATGCATTGCAAGGAACTGACTGGCTTTTTTGTCCTCTTCTTCCATTTCTCAAGGATGAAGCCAGTGAGCAGCAGCAATGATGTGGCTATGGATGCCTTAGATTTTGATCGAATGAAACAGGTGAGTGAAAAGTTCTTTTGCACTTAAGAGATTTGACGAGCTACCCATTTTCCCCCATGCATGCGCTGTAAAAGCAAAACAGCTGTTCAGTCTTCTGATTTCCTCTGTAACTAGGTGCTTAGCGAAGGGCTAGCTGGTGAGCAGCAAGAGAGCACAATCTCACTGCTATTTTATCAAGATGTCTGTACAGAAATGTGCAAACAAATATGCCGGCATCTTCTGCGTCCTTGGCCTGGGAGTGCAGACGTAGCTGTTAGTAGTGCTAGGCTCTGATCGTCAGCGGAGGCGGGGGACAAGCACAACCGTGTTAAACTTGCATTTTCTTCCACCAGTTAGAAGGAAATTCTGAGCAGCTGACTTGTGTTTTGTCTCATCAGGAAATATTGGAGGAAGTTGTAAGAGAGTTACACAAAGTGAAAGAGGAGATAATTGATGGTAAGAAAGAGAAAAATTATTGTTTTTCTCATCTTTATGACTAATTTCCCGTAGATAAGATGATAGGAACTGGAGAGAGTTCCCTGGTGTTTTCAGACTTCTCTGAGCAGCTCTGATTTATATACACATTTGAAGAGCAAGCATCTACCTTATCTGAGCTCTGATCGTGACACTGTGTTTACATGCTTTATTTTTATGCTGTTGACGAGCACTTTCACTCCCAACCTGTGAGAAATTCACTGGCCGGTGTTTCTCACAGGTGGGAGGGTGAGAAAGGGCCTGCCCGTAGCCCGTGGCGTGTCAATTTATCACAATCAGGGAGCGTGAAATCGCTTGTAACTAGCCGGCCACACAGGTCTGGGATGAGGAGGGGACAAAGGTACCAAACTGAAAATCCTTCCCGAGCATCTTCTGTAGGCTTCCTATGCTTGAAGAGCTATTTCAGATCTTCACTTGATTACAGCTTTCCAAATAGCCACGTATTTTTATAATTCATTGAAAAGTACAACAGCTGTACTAAATGTATCGGTACCTTTTTATAAATTGCTCTGCAATATATGACTAAATGTATTTTTCAGGGCCATTACTGAAATGCACAGCAAAATACCTGTTTGAAGCCCGCATTAGGGCATGTGAAGATGCATGTCCACACCCTGCACTCCCCATCTTAGATTCACACAGAAGGGGAAAAAGAGGAGACTGTAAAACAGCTAAAATCCGTTCCCTGTCCCCTTGCCCTAGACCTGTGTGCTCACAAAACCTCGGGGCAGTTTGCAGTTGAGGACACCCTCGCCCGTACGCTACTGTCCCAGCAGCTTGGCTGTCAGAGCCTCCCTAGTTCGTTCCAGTGCAAAATAAGACGTTCACAAAAACCACAGATGCGACTTCTTAAGACAGTACTGCAGTTTGCAAGCAAACAGCTGACTGCTTACCCTTACTCATCCTTTTACCCTCCACTCATCCTTTTACCAGCGTGTATTTTCTGCAACCTCTATACTTAGCATTTTCCATCACACTGCGTATAACATTATGCATTAACTTTCTGGTTTGGTTTTCTAGCCATACGGCAGGAGTTGAGTAGAATCAGTACAACATAATGATTGCAAAGCATTTGGACGGTACTAAGAATGCTAGGAAGATCGGATCATTTCTAAGTGTACCAAGGTCATGCAAGATGGTGAGAGAGGACATCGGCACTGTCTTTGTTCTTATACCCTTTTTATTAGCAGACTCAGCACACTTTGAAGCTTGCTGCTGCCTTGGATTTGCTTCATTTTAAAAGTCTTAATCTAAAGAATATTAAATTTTAAATTTCTGGATTTTTTAGATTTCATCTGACACTGCACATTGGATTTGTCAGCCTTTTTTGTATTTTGTATTTGCTTATTTAAATGTATTACCTTTCTTTTTAGTAGTAGATAAGAACACACGTGAACCATTTGCTTTTGATAGATGACTTCAAAGTAATTTTACTAGTAGTCTGCAATGTAAATGAAGATCCTTTGCCAACAGAAATGTATTGTGGCATCACCAGAAGAAACAGAGACATGTTAGTTGTCAGCCAACGAGTTCTTTGTCTCAGAGTTATCACAGTATAAAAAAAATGGTACGTCAGTGCATCACAGTATCTGTGTTCATATTGGTAATAAACTGTTTATTGTCCACATGGCCCTGCCTTTCTTTGTTTCATTTCTCCCTTGAGCTCCTGCACTTTTATGTCACTTGGGTTGACGTTGAAAGGAAGGTGACTGAGACTCACCGTGGGGTGGCAGCTCTGCCCGGCCAGCGCCGCAGAGCACGAGGAGAGAGCCCGAGCCTGTTACGGCTGGTGCAATGGCAACAGCCCTGCCTTCCTTTGCAGGGAGACGTGGCTCTCACCTGCCCGGCCCTCCTCGCATCGCCGGCTGAGCACCTCTCCTGCAGTCAGGCTGCGGCAACCTCAGCAACTTTTTGCCAAAGTCAGTGAAGGATGGTGGCTTACGGCTCTTCTTCAGGCCACCACTAACTGTCTCACTGCATCTCCTACCATCACTGAAAAAAACCCAGGTCCCATCACCTGCACTTGTAAGGGCTTCCAGTAAATAAAAGGGAGGTATTATGCAGAACAAGGCTACCGAAGGCATTAGGGGGATGCAAGCTGAAATCACTGGCACAGCACTGCTGAACTAGAGGCTTCAGGGGAGTCATTTGTTAATCTCTCACATATTTCATTTGTTAATGTTATGCAGGTCTTGAGCTTTATTTCAAAGAAAGTGAAGTCAAAGATATGAGTACAGGATGCCGAACACTAAACAGCACACACCCAGTCATATCTTTCAGGTCACACAATTTTTTTCTTTAGAGCCATTCTTTCCACCTGTGCGATCTTGGGAATTTCTGCTTGACTTAGCTTGGCGCAAGCCTTACATGGCAGTAGTCTTGATACCATCTTCTTGATAACTCTGTGCAAAAGTCAGGAGATTGGAGTTCAGCTATTGAAATCTGCCAAATATTTTCCAAGCCCCTCTGCTTTTCTTCAGGCCTTCCTGAAGATTTCATGTTAAAAGCCAGGCCCCAGGAATGGTTTCGGGAGCAGAGCCTGGTGCAGCAGCCCAGGAGAGGCTGTGGCTGTCCCCGTGCTCGCGTCCCCCAGGCCCCACGGAGCACGGCAGCCCACGGGCAGGAGGGACTGCCTGCCGGCAACAGGAGACCCAGGAGAGGAGGCGGGGTGGGGCATGCTTTGCAGTTAGTTGTAAATGTTATCTGCTTTGGCTTGGAGAACGTGGGGTTGTCCTTCAGCACTCTTCAAGGCAACCCCATCTGCCTTTTAGAAAACAGTCTGTTTTCAGTGTGGTTATATTGTCAATTAAATATGCGAAAAATGGGAGAAATTTGAGTTTAATGCAACGGCAAGGTCCAGACTGAGCCTGATGCCTGTTAGCTGTTTAATGCCAGCAGAAAGTGAGAGACAGGTTAGACAGTGGCGTAACATTTCCACATGGGAACTAAAGCAGGCAGACATTGATGTGCAACACAACACAACAACCCCAGCACCAGGAGAAGGAGCTTTTCCAGTAGGAAGAACACAGACAAGCATCAGTAACAGCAAAGATTATAACACTGTTGCATAAATCTCATACAGTAGCTCCTGCGTTTCTTAATTATAAACCCGTGTAATGGCACACCTGACAATGGCAAGTACTTTTCAAAACTGCTGCCTCTCAGATGATCACAACCACTCTATGAAACTCTCCTGTAATCTTAATTAAGCTTCAGGAAGTTGGGGCCTGGCATGGTTCATGTTTTCCCTTGAAATGTGGCATTATGCCTAAGGTCAGTAATAACTGCGTCGTAATTCGGGCCAAGTGTACAGCCTGGATACAGTGTGCCCCTCTGTTAACATCAGCCACCTGCTGTAAATGAGTTTTTCTTACTCTTCTACCTTTGCAGGCCTCATATAATCAAGACATAATGAGCGGAAGTTGGCACAGGGCCACTTAATAGCTGTGGGAGCAAGGTGCGCGGGGGTGGAAGGGGAAGCTGATGGGGCAGGGGAGCAGTCCTGGCATCACCGGTGCTTTGCCGGTTCCCAGCCTACAGCTCCAGCGACAGGGATGCACAGGGTGGCTTATTTGCAGTAGTGGCACTGCCAGAGGATTTCACCTTCCCAGACACTAATTCAGTTTGCCTCTCGCCTCTGTAGAGAAGGGTGTCCCTTGATGCTGGGCTTGTTGAGGGTACCGCTGCAACAGGGCAGGCCACAGGCATTATACATCAGCAGAAATCAAAAGGGGCATTAACCTCCATTCTGACCTGTCATACAGCTCTTTGTCCCTCCTCTCTCCTCTTGCCAGAGCGTTACTGTAGCCACACAATGAAGGGGATCTGGATTAATTTTTAAGCGAAGAGAATAAAACTATACATAGCCCCAGTGTTCTTTTAACCCAGACCCATTTGCCCTGTGGTTACAAAAAAAACCCCTTCTGCCAACTTTACTGGTAGTGGCAAGGACAAGCGCCCATGGAGAGGACAGGATCACAGCCTTCTCCAGCAGCACCCGCACCACAGCCCGAACCGCACATCTGCAGGCACCAGGCTTCCAGCCACTTCCACCGAGATGGAGAGTGCAGAGCAGGAGGACTGTGGGGCTGCCCAAGCAAAGCAAGGTGGGACCGTGACAGAAATGCTGATGGGAGGCAGGGTGAGAAGCGGTTGCCAATTTTGGTTACCCTCCGTTTACACCATAGCCTCTGTGTCAGGCTAGGCTAGTTATCCGTAGACCACATAGGTGACTGCATCATGGAACAGCTGAGTACGGGAACTATAGAAAGGTCACTCTCCATACAGGAGAAGGACAATAGTCAGACTGAGGAAGATAGCATAATCTTTATTATGGTTTTTATATTAACTTGCTAAGTTGGCCAAGCTTGCTAAGGACACGCAAAGTTGAATACGTGATCATGGAGTGCCAGCAACACTGAAGTAAATTAATGAAAAAGTGAAGCTCCCGACATGAGCACCCACACAAAGAAGTCAATAGAGGTTCCCACACCAAAGCCACTTCCTTTGGGAGAAAAGGCACCTGAAGAACCAGTGAAGTCTGAAGAAGTCAGAAGTCCTGTTCTTCCTCTTCTTTTCCAGAAAAAGAACCAGGCCAAAACAATACCTGTGAATGAACTGGTATTCAGCCCCTGCATCACAAAGAATCTTGCACTGCTGAGCAAACCTGGGTATTTACCCAACTGCCAAAATGAGACAGATGAGGAAAATGAAGGAAAGGGAAATGGAGGAGGAGGAACCTAAATTGCTGCAGGCTAGCTCGGCTGCCTGGTGTGCCAGGCTAGCAAACGGACAGGCTGACTCGCTGGATCTGGTGCTGCAGGAGGAAGGAACGGAACTATGTTTATTGAGGAAAACGGGCTTCCCAGATCTAATAGCATACTTTGAGGCATCGAGAATGCAGAATAATCCTTTTCTTTGTTACAGACATGGATTTCCAGAAGAAAACAAAAAAGTCAAACTGTTAGAGGGTTAGGGTGTAAGAGAACCTTTATAGATCTATTCTTTTTTAACCACTTAGTAAGGACAGAAATAAGTTGTCAGCTTTCCAGGGTGGAGGGAAGTTATTAGATGGCATCTGAACTCCTGACTCCCAAGATACTGTTCTGCTTGGAGAAAGGCATGGTGATTAAGGTTTTTGATGCTACAGAACTATTGAGAATAGCCAGAAGTTGATAGTTGGAGAGGACAGGCAGGAAGATGTAACTATTCCTGGGCAGAAATGACAGATGAAGGTTAATGTCAATAGCACAAAGCAAGACATGTGGGGAGAGAAACAACCCCAGCTCCGTGTTCCAGGTATATCCCCTTAACACCATCAGCAACAACTTTTATCTAGCTGGAGTATCACGTGCTTCTCAAATGTCAAGTCAGTGCCCCTTGAATGACAGAGGAAAAAAGTTACAATTATTCTGAAAGCGGTTAGGAACAAACATCACCATTAACGTCTCCATGTCTTCACTGACACATACTCCTAACTCCTATGCACAGAAAGGGGCATAATATAGAGAAGACCAAGAAAGATGATCAGGAATATTAACAACCTTGGAAAGCAGCAGTTAAAACTAGAACCTTTCCATTCCCAGAAGGACTTACAGTGGGGAAAAGGATGAGAAACATGAAGTTATGAATACTGTTGAAAAGGTTGGTGAGAAAGGACCACCCAGTTCCTCCAGAGGCACATCCATGCTGCTGATCAGGCAGCGAGCGGGATACTAAAGGAAGGGTTTCTCCATACCACAGTTCAGCTCTGCCAGTTAGCTACACTGAGAATTAGGTCCTAAGAATAGAATTGCATTTAGAAAAGGTTTAGACAAAGCCCTGGAATAAAGGTCAAACAGCAGTTACTAAAATAATGATACAAATGTACAAAAATATACATATCTTCCATTGCATATACAAAATCTCTGCTACCAGCAATTATCAGAAGTAAGATATTAGATTAGGCAAGACATTGAGCTAAAGGCATACTTGTGTTCTCCAGAAAGTATCATTTACTGCTGCGTGCCAGTCCTCCCTGCTTCCACAGTGCTGTCCACGCAGAACATCTACATCTAATCTGGCATGAAAAGAAACCAGTCCTAAACTACACACACGCATGCTCACACATACATGCACCAGACATTCTCCGTTGCAGACCAGGCCAAAACACAGACTTAGGCACACATGGCCCAGGAAGTTAATTCTAAGCCTAGACAAAAGGTCCACATAATCATAGCTCACTATAATCTAGTTTTTCAGGGTTACATACACAAATATCCTTTATTAAAAAGTATCAGTAGTCTAAAATAGTGTTCATACCTTCATTTTCACACTCATCCTCTTGGTCTAAGGAGCACGCACCAATGCTAATTCAGCACACACAAACATCCTTCTACTTCTGCAGAAAACTCACGTCATTCAAACGAACAAACAAAACACCAATGCAGCTAGTCCGTTAGCTTTCTTTTGCCAGCTTGCATAGTCTCTTAACCCTTGAGTAAGGACCAATAGTGTCATCAAAAACAAAGTCCCACAGAACTCGAACCCAGGATTGGTGATATGGGAGGTTATCATAATACTCTGCTGCAATCTTCTTCACCTGGAAGAAGAAGAAGAGAGAGAATGAGCTGTTTAGCTGCACAGTGT